GTAATATATATATATATATATATATATGTGTGTGATTTTTATGTATACGCTAAAGGTTATGGATAATAGTGATAATTAAGTTTCAAGATGTAAAGTTACAAAGATATTTGAATAATTTCTAAACAGCAGAATAAATCCAACTTATTGTTATTTCATAAAGTAGAAGAAAATTTACAAGCAATGTGAAAGTTTAATGAGACAAAATTACTCAACCTGATATTTTAAATTCTTCTCTGTATTCTAAAAATGTGAACAGTAAAAATACTACAGACAAATATATGGACGTATAAGCAGTCAACCATAAAAACCAAAAGCTAATAAATGATAGCTACAAAGAAACATTACTTCTAGCATTTTATGTTGTCATTGGCAAATCGAATATTGTCAAATTTTGGTTTATTAATAAGAATGTGATAGCAAATACATAATCATGATTACATTCTCTATGAAAGGTAACTAAGGTTATTAAAACTGAAAATTGTTCTTTATATATATATATATATATATATTCAAATAAGTGCTTTGTTCAAGCAATAATTTACTTACATAATCTCCATAACCATAATCGTCGTATCCAGCCAAAGCAACACCAATAAGGGCAGCCAACACGAAAATCTAAAAGCAAGAAAGATAAAATTTATTATACTGCACATTTACTTTTGATAATAAAAAGTGTTACGCTTCAAATAGTTACTAAAGTATTTAGTCCTCATAATAAAGATAGAACTCGATGACTTATTTTCAAGATTATTGCTTGAGATAACCATATTTTCCAATGGTTATCGCAGCTTTTCCTGTTGCCAATTTTAACAAGTTCGAAAAACATTCAATGTGATTAAATTATTTACTAATTAGAAACGAACCTTGTAAACCATTTTGAATTAAACTGCCCAAACTACAGAAAGGGAATTAATCGTTCTGTGTCTGAAATATGTGTGACTGTCGGCTATAAATATACACACATATATATATATAAATTTTCCGGAACTGAAAACAGGAGTCATTTTTCTTTCTTGTCGGTTACTATTTTTGTACATATTGTTCAGTGGATTTCACTCTTACTAGACGGTAATATAGCTTAGAGCATTAATTGTCTGGCAGTGCTAGTTCGTGCTCACTCCAACATTCACTTCCTCGACAACAAACGATAACTAACATGTACAAAAACCGAGATACAATCTCACCAAATCAAACCCCCTCTCAAAAGGTATTGCTGTCCTTGAAATAATTTATTGTAAAAATACACACACGCTTATAAGCATGGTTAGGTTGACATTTTGAAGTTATCTACCAATTACATAGGAACAATTACAAGGGAATTATACTAGTTAAACGCTAAAACCGAGTTGATCAAAATAAACTAAAATTCTTCTATTCTAAGACTTATAAATTGCATACTATCAATATTACAACAAAATGTCAGGACTTTTACACTATGTTATGCTAATAGTGTTTAGTACTGTACTTCGTTCTTAAGCTGATACTTATAAAACTGCCCCCGATGGTTCAGCAGTTAATCAGAGGGCTTCTAACTCCAAAAATCAGGTTTCGATACCTGTGGTGGACAGAACACATGTAATCCATTATTTAGTTTTGTGCTTAACAAGAAACAAATTTATAAAATTATAGGTCCCAACTTAATTTACTAGTATTATATTGTTATTACGATTCAACTAATTGCTAAAAATGTAATAATAATTTTCAAAAACATTTTAATAAGCACCCCTTCCCAGAGACTCAACGGGTATCTATACCTGTGGTAGGCACAACACGTATAGCCTATAGTATTGCTTTGTGCTTAAGTACAAACATTTCGATAAAAGCTCGTGAATATTATAAAATTCGGTTTATTTTTACAATTATAGCATTTGCCAAAGTTTTTAAAAATATCATTTATTTTCACTAATATTAATACACAGTACTTACAGAAATTACTTTTGCAATTATAAAAATAAAACACTGTAGTAATTACATAAAGCTTTTTTTTTCTTCTTTATAAGATGCCACGAAATTCCCAAATACACTTTTTTCTGCCATAATTAATTAACAAGAAATCTATATAAACAAAAGTGATATTTATGGACTTATACATGTGCGTCTTTCAAATAATCATACACACATTTTTGCTTAAAAACAATTAACAAGAATGGGCAATAAAAACATAGAGATTTACTTTCAATTTTGGAAAGCTACTATTAAAACGAAAGTTATCGTGAAATTATCTGAACCACTGATACAATGTTTACCTGGCCTAATTATTCAATATTTTGCAGGTGTTGCTAAGAGCAATAAGGTACAATATTTTTAATAACAATAAACTACAATGGTGTAGACAAGTACTCGATAAATGAAGAAAATATAAAAATAGCAACTATTGCCACACCCGTAATCGATGTGTTGAAAGGCCAGAATGGTACAAGAATTTTGTTCCACGCTGAGTAACATTAAAAAAATAAGCCTTACGCTCCAGAGCGAACTTCGGAAATGAACGGATCAACACAGATCAACTTGAAGTAGTCTTTGTTCTAACAGGTTTGAAGTGTTTTCACCTGGTAGCCATGGCATATTTTGTTTGTTTGCTTGTTTTAGAGCAAAGCCACATTCCACTATTTCCACAGCGAGAAATCGAACCCTGGATTTTAGCGTTGTAAGTTCGTAAATTTACCCCTGTCTCACGAGGGACGTCACATTTTAGCATAGCCCATTGATTTCGCAGATTTAGTATTAAATTTGTTTCGGATATTTGCACAAAGTTGCACAAGAGATATCTTCTCAAATCGTACCTAATTTTGAATTAATAGATAGAGGGTAGGCTGGTAGTCAACACCATTCATTACCAATTCCCGGACTACTCTAATCGAATAGTGGGATTTGACTGCCACTCTTATAATGCACACTCTGGCCCAAAAGGAAGCGAACCATGAACCCTCAAATTCACAGTATAACATGATAACCATTAGGCACGACCTGTCATAATAATTATTATTTTTCTTTTTTTTATATAAACACACACACATATATGTCAAATTTCGTCAGTTCTCATAAAATAAAAGATGTATGAATGAATGCCATGTATCATTGGACAGTTTCCATGATGTTAATAGAATGTCAAGATAAATCTGGTAGTAAGCACTAAAACCACTCCAAAATGTGTTTATTTCATATATATATATATTAGAAAGATGGTTGTTACTAAAGTAAATGCTCATAGTAAACTAATTTTTGGAATGAAGAACTAAAACCCTTATTATATGAGATATATAAATATTCCCTACATTCGAAATTGTTTAGGTCCTACATAGAATAAATCAATCTAATACTTTAGCAGGAAGAGAATCTAATAATAAAACATGAATATTATAAAAAAAATCAATATCACGTGCAGGTTTGTACTACGAATGATTATTAACTAACGTTAACTGAACTTGCTATGGTAGCATATATTCATTCTCCAGGGTCAACAGTAAGTCAGCAGACTTACGACGCTAAAATTCGGATTTCGATACCCATGGCGGGCAAAGAATAGATAGCCCATTGTGTACGTTTGCTCTTAACAACAACTAACCCAAATTATCAACCATTTCTTATTAAAATGTGTTCATATAGGATATAAAAATATAAAAATAGACTAAATCCTTTTGAAGGCTGTTATATTTAGAGAATTTTGGAACTTCTTATAAATAATGTATTTAAGCAAAAGGAGCAAAATTATTACCCTGCTGCTACGTAAAGTCATTATTTTAAAACATTATGCTTATTATTAAGTAACTTTAAAAGCAATTATGTATAAAATATTCAACACTCTCTATGCTTCCTAGCAAAAAACGATAATTTGTAATGAGGATACTAAATATTCATTCATGAGTTAAATTATGCAATCCAAATAAAATAACCCAATTAGCATTAAAGAAAATACACAAAACAAATCCCATAAAATAATATTCACCATAATTTTGGTCTGACATAGCATGATGCTCAGAGCACTCGATTCATAACTTGCTGGTCGTGGGATCGAAACTCATCGCCATACATTATCGCCCTTTTAGCCATAAGGGCGTTATAATGTGATAGTCGGTTTCCCAATTCATTGCTAAAGAGTGACCCAAGACTAGGAGGTGGGTGGTGTTGGATAGTTTTCCTTTTCTTGTCTAACACTTCAAAATCATGGACAGTTATCGCGTATAGCCCTTGAGTAGCTATGCGCGAAATCCATCAAACAAACAAACATATCATGACAATTTCACACATATAAAAACGTATTTCCAAACTATATTAAAATAAGTTTGGTACCATACAAGTAGTTAGGGCAAGGATGAGCAACACGCCAACAGAGGGCACTACATTTGTGTACAGGAAGGGGTAGAGACGATGATGTCATCAAAGATGATGACGTCATAGTTCCATAAATTTTACCAGAGGGCGCATTTTTAGGGCGTGTTGCTAAGCTGCCATAGCAGGCGACCATGATGTAACAGTTTCCCGAAGTGGAACCAAATGGCGTGGCTATCTTCGAGAGGGTTGAAATTATAGTTCGATACCAGACAGATGGCTATGAAGTAGAGGATATATTGTTAGTCCACCATTACAGGCGGCCATGACGTCATACTTCCATTGAACCAGCATAAATTTGATCAACATGACTATAATTAATCGATTTAAAACACTAATTCATTAGTTAATTAAATTTCCTGTCCTAAAAGGACGATATAAAGTAATTAAACTTACTGTTTGATGTCTCAACATGAAAATATTCAATCGGTTTAAATCACTAATTTATTAGTTAGTTAAGTCATTTATATTTAAACTGTGCTAAAAAGGACGCTTAACAATAATTCATTAGTTAATTAAATCATCTATAATTAAACCATCCTAAAAAGGACGCTTAACACTAATTTATTAGTTAATTAAATTATTTCTAATTACATTGTTCTAAGAAGGACGCTTATCACTAAATTGTTAATTACATTTCCTGACCACTTAAATTGTCCTAAAAGGAGCGTTTATCAATCTTTTATTAATTACATTTCCTGACCACTTATATGTCCTAAAAGGACGATATTATGCATTAATTAAAACTTACACTTTCACTAGTTTGACTTTATGTTTGACAAAATAATTCATTTACATATGTTTTACAAAGGTGAATTATGTTCTACACATACATAGTGTTACTAAAGCAAATTGTTTTTCAATGTGTCTCAACATGCATCATCAATAAAACGTTTATTAAATATTATGCAATGATTAAAATTTACACTTTTATTAATGTGACTTTATAACTTGACAAATTATTTCATTTAACACACGATACTTTGTAGTTTATCTCATGTTTTACAAAGACATACACACATATGATTAATGCCTATATTTAATTACCAGTATTTTAACGACTGTCCATAGGATTTTAACAAATATGCTGTAACAATGTTACTATACTTCCATATATGATTATGTAATCGATGTCTATATTTCGTTATGTTAAAACTATAATTTTGTATATTTTAACATCTGTTCTAATACAATTTGCTACGACTAAAAAATAATAAATGAATGACTTACTGTTTATCAATCCATTTTTTATATATCCATTGATCACTGGCAAGTACACCGTCAAAGGTGTTTGAGTACACAAAACTTGTGAAAGTATGGAATAAATTTCTAAAGTGCTCACAGCTTCTTTCAGACGATGTTCTGTAAGACACTTATTGTTTTGCTTTCAAGTAAAACATACATATTATTCGATGAGACAGTTATTATAACCAATAATTTACTTTTATCATACTTCTACAAATATATATAATAAATGAACCATTTATTGTTTAACTTTACTATTATCTAAAATACCAAATTGCATACAATTTTGAGACTCGAACGACTATTAGGAAATCACACACATACAATCTGCACACACACTTTTAAGAATTACAAAGACCATCTTGTGGTCACATACATACAGACAGTGATTCTACAGTACACAAAATACTGCTGAAATACTGATGTCATTATCGTCTACACTTCAAACAACCTTGAACTGAGAAGCGAGGAGTGGTTCACCTTACGGTTTAGCGCACAATTATTACATGTTGTGTCCGATAAAAGGTCAGAGTATTTCAGTCAGCTTAGAATAATTTTTCAAAATGAAAGATCTGTTCAATTCTAATAATTAAATAAGCGTGTGAAATATGCGTTATTTCATTATATAATACAACAAATTATATAATAATAATTTGATTCAAATATATTAGGTCGTCAAGAAATTAATGTAGGTTTTTAAGATGAAAAACCAAACAACGTATATATCAAAACAAAACATTTATTAAATGAAAAAGTCTCTATTTTTATCGATGATGCTTTTCCATCTTACAATCAGGTTTTTATTGCCCTGATTAAAGAAATCACTTGGCTTTGAACCAAAACATGTTGATGTCCTCTTTAACACCTTCCACATTTGCATACGTTTTCCCATTAAGATGGTGTTGCGGCAAACGAAAAAGATG